CATGTAACATTAATAATAGCCAAAGCAGCAATTAGTGCGCTGAGTTAATTACGCTGGGTTCTTGTCCCTCAGAGCTAAAGAGTCGGCTCAGACAAAAAAAATAAAAGGAAACTTTTCTCATTATCTTTCTCATCGTGAAGTGAGTTTTCGTCTTTTTGTTCAGAAACAGTGTCTTCGATACACTGGATTATCTTTTCAGTGAAACTACTTTCTGCTGAAAAGTCCCTGCTACAAATCTGTGGATGATCCAGAATAACAACGACGCTGATAATAGAAAAAAGAGATGATAGTGTTTGTTAAGAAAAATTCAATTAAAGATAAAAATACAATAGAGGGATTTAAAAGAACACAGCAAATAAGTCTGTTTCTATAATGTGGGGACTGTCACTGCAGTGAGCACCACAGAAAAAAAATGTTTTCACCTGTGCTGATGTGTTTAGCCCAGAAAGCTGCATGGATAAATACTCTTTTTAATTTGGATGAACTGACCCTTTAAACCCAAGAAACAGAGTAAACAGCAATAATTACAGAGACAATATCTCCCCACAGTTTGTGCTGGGAAAATGCATGTCTAAGCACACACACACATAAACACACACTGACGTGAGTGTTATTAATATCTAGGTTTGCTTCCCTCTGGAGAGAAGCCTGCTCAGCGTGTGTGTGGCATTTTATGACAACTGCAGAAAAAAAGCCTCCATCATATGCACCTAACCATCTGTATAGTGTGTCTTCCTGCTGTCTCAGGTGAAAACTAACTGTAAATGTCAGCACAGGTTAAAATGCTGACTACACCGTGACGGAGCACCTGTGTGCCTCCCCTCTCTCCACCATTAATAATGCATGGAACGTACGGTCCCCGTAATCACCTTGTTTGGACTTCATGATTTATGGTCAGTGGAAAAATAGATAAGAAAACATGAGAAGGCCTATTTATGAAGGCAACAGTGAAGCATCTGTGTGCCCTGCTCATGAGTGCATTCATGCATGACCGTGCGTAGATCTGTGCCTGTGTTCCAGTGTAATTCCCGTGAAGCGTGAATATCCACGTGAAAGCACGGACAGATAGATAGATAGTATAGATCTCGTCAGTTTTCACGTAACATTCGCCAAATCCATGTCAGGCGAAATATATAGGCCGAGCGTCTGTGCATGCATGTGTGTGTGATAGTGTGACTGTGTGAGAGAGGGAGTGGGAAAGACTGTCATGAGGGAGATAGTGAGAGGAAAGAGAGAGCATGTGTCCTCACTCACTGATAGTAATTTAGCAGACTGCAGCACTGCAGTGAGCGGCAGAGTTGAAAGAGAGCAGGGAGGGGGTGACTGGTTGCCACACACACACACACACACACACACACACACACACACACACACACAC